AGAGAGAGAGAGAGAAAGATGGCGGAGGGGAGATACAGAAATGGCGAGAGAGAAAGAGAGAGAGAGAGATACATAGAGAGAGAGATAGATAGAGAGAGAGAGAGGGAGAGACAGGGAGAGAGAGAGAGAGAAAACGAAAATGAATAGAGGAGTGTCCTGGGAACTTACCGGCATCCAGAGACTCCATCGACTCTGAGATAGTATCCGTCATACTGAAACAAGACAAAATTATGATTCAATGTACACATGTTGGCTGTACAACTTGAAAAAAATCCAACAAAATCAACAAGAAGTTTTAACTCCATCCGTACAAGCCTTGTCAGGTGCTATGGAGCAAGATACCAGCAAATAAAAGTCCAGGCATATTTCACGGTTTGAAACTGATGTTCAAGATCAAGACACAACAAGTTGAATGCAAAGATCACAATAAACCCCCCCCCCCCCTGCCCCTCAAATGGGAATAAGGAATATTTACGTCTTAGCTGAAGAAAAAAATATTTTTAAAGAAATTATTTCTTTCAGAAAAGTGAATAACTTTCGCACATTACAAGCTGACTTAGTCGATCCTGTAAATCTTATACGGTTCCGTGAAAAGCAAAAGAGCGGCATAGCAACAAACACAAAACCGATCCACCAAAACATAATCTGACTACTGACCCGATGTCAGAACTCGTGTCACTGTCCACATTGTCAGAATCCGGGAGTGAGGCAATCTCTAAATCAAGCCAAGAATTCTTCAAATTATAGGAGCGCCTCCTCCTGAAGCTAAACCGTGACATTCTGTTCATAACGTTCATGTTCATGATGGCGATGGTGATGACGACAATGACGGAAAAACCATCTTCCAAAGGAAACCACGACACTGAAGCCAGCGACTCTGAAACTGGCGGCAGCGGCGAGAAGTTTGGAACAACTAATTCATCACGAGTCTCGACAGACAAGGGTAACTGAGGTCAAGTCACACGACGTCAACTGATAGGATGTTACAGCATACAGCAATCAATTGTGGAAATTCCTTTGCGCATCTTGTCAGATCAGATGATAAATGCACTTGAAGAAGCTTTCATCAACATCCTGTCACATGGAAACACACCAGCCATCAGGCTACCCTCTCCTCCCACAGAACGGGAAAACGCTATGCTTGAAATGGGTCAAAATTGAGTCTTTTTATTACCGTTTTTGGCTTCATGAACGAGCTATTCATATAAATCCGAGTTGTTGCACATAAGACAGCACGAAGAGAAATCCCGGGGGGTTTATTTTCGTTGTTCAACAGTGAGTAAGCCACTTAAGTGCTGAAGCACGTCCTTGAGATACGGATCTCGATTACAAAGAAAAAACTATGACAAAAATGAAGGGGGGGGGGGGGGGGGACTCATATCCCCTGACAATGTAGCAAACGAGTTGATCACTACGTTCTTTTTGCCGCTGAAAAAAACCCTGAGTGTGTGTTGTGAACGAAACCACTTACATGACGTTGCACAGTGCTCAATGAGAAAATACCAAGATCAAAGGCAAAAATGAGACCTGAAGACAATGTTCGCAACCTTGGGTTGTAATAGCGGTGGTTTGGGGGGAGGTCGAGGGCGGGGCGTGAACACACAGCCTCTCAGCCCGTCTCATTTCTTCGTAAATCTGAGTTATAAAAAGTGGAGACTTGAACACAAGGTCTTAACATTCATACCCCAAAGAAATGGGCCGGTAACGTGGCCATAGATGCCCCTCTTTTCACATCTTACGCCTGGGTTCATAAGTCACTGACTGCAGTGTACATAAACTGGGATGGGGCAGACAGGATGGTGTCAGTTCACTGTAATCTGCTAGTACTTGTGACACTCAACACTGATACCACATCGCTATTATCGAGACATTTCAGCCGTGTCATTGTCTACACTAGCCTTGGCGTGTCAGATAAGTAGATTTCCGAGGAAAACAATAGAGTTCTATATTTAGATTATCAACGAGATAGCGATACGCACAACACACGCAGCTGTGGGATGGGCTAATTACAAGAATACTTTAATTGGACATTTTTGAAAGTTCCCCCTTTGCCAATTTAATGCCCCGAGAAACGCATTATTCTATCTAGTTTGAATAAAAAGAAATACATTCACACGTTATCGGCCATTTAGAGTAAAATACGTGCTACAGCAGAAGAAAAACAAAAACAAAACAAAGGGAACCACCGTGCCCCGTGATTTGCAGTATTCATTCGAAATTTCGGGGAAACAGTAACTAACAAAAACAATTAAGAATAAGAAGCAAACGAAGTTTGACAGGGACCCCAAGCCACCCAGCAAGTCGTTGCATTAAAACGGGTTTGTAACATTTTCGACACACGTTTGAGACATTTCTTTCTTTCAATCAATGAAAAAGCAATACAATGTATAAAAATGGCCTTTTACTTTCGATTTTACATTTGGACCTTCACGTCTGCAGAGTAAGAAACTAACAACAAACATGACTAACATAGTGATCCACGCTTAACCTTGTAAACCCCCCACCTCCCCTAGCCGTTCAACTATTGAAGATGTCTTATTTTGAAAATTAACAAACGGTTAATTTTAGAACGATCGTAAAACTTTATTTAGCGGATTTGAGCGAACTATAATGCAATTTTCCAAAGCTTCCGTTGTGCAATCAATTGAGTCGTTGTGTGTATTGGTCCATCAATTCCACAGATTGCGGCTTTATTTAGCCCCTTCTATTCCTGGCCCACCAGATTTCTAAACAACGATGCGAACAACGGAAATCAGTGTGGGAGGCAGCCCCGGACACTTTTGTAGTTGCCACGTTGTACAAATTAGATCATATGAAAAATACGGTCCTGATATTTTCGGAGGCACAGCTTTAAACCGCAATTTTGTACGCGTCTCCATTGAACAAAAGCCCCTTTCTCCGGGTGGTGCACACAGAGATGTCTATCCAAACACATTGTAGACTTCCAGACTCCACAAGATTCTCTGGAATAACAAAAATGCTCCCTCTTTCTAATGAAACCTAATAAATAAGCAACTTGTTTCTAAATCACGCCGTAATCTCCACAATTATCTGCCCCTAACAGGAAGCAACAGAGTCAGTAACCTCCCTCTTATCTGCTCGACGTCCGAGCTCTCCTCCTTGTATATAATTCACAGGGACTCGGCAAAAGGAAAAAGAAACCGAGGGCAAGCAGCTTTCCTCCTTTTTTCTCTCCTAACTTTAAATGAGAAACGAAGATGGCTAGGGTTGGGGGGAGGGGAGTGTGTGTGTGTGTGTGTGTGTGTGTGTG